TAGTTACATAATGATTAAAAAAATACTGTAAACTTTATGAAACAAAACAGAAATCAACTATTACAATTAGTATTTCTGTCTCATTTTATTTGGCATACGTTTTTTTTCTTTTCAGTTTGTCCAAAATAATGGCTCTTTTTATAGCAGACAAATATTTGTGGTATAATTTAGACTACAAATTCTAATATATTTTTTTTTAAACAAGAGTATATTTTAATTTGAGAATACAAAATAGAGTGACATAAATAGAAAAATAAAAAAGGTACAATTACTAATCCAATAAAACAAATGGAGAGCAACTGAAAATATGTGGGGCCTATGGCCAGAAAACGGCAGTTTCAAGATGCTGCAAACCAAGTGCGTGGCAATGAAATTGAAGTGGGGCCTACAAATTCAGCAAAAAATATCCAAGTTTTTTGTCCAAGAAGGCAATAATTCTCACGTGAAGCGATCATGTACATCACCTTTAAAGCACATAAATATTGTATTTTCAAGAATACTCTTGCAGCAAGCAGACATGTTGACGGAGAGGAGCCTTGCTAACTCTCACTTATAAGATAGTAGAAAAGTATACTAGATAGAGATGCTCGTGCAATGCACGGGCTCAACATGCTAAATATTTAGCCAGTATATTTTTTCATGTTAATATCGTGCAATGCCGGTGCTATAGAAATAGTGCTCCTTATTGAAGTCGAAATAAGTAACCACAAGGAAAAAAGCATTATGTACAACATGGACACAGTAGGGCACTTTTTAGTACAATATTATGTGCAAAAGAGGACAAAAGTACATTTAGATATCGAGTACGAAGTTCAGCCATAGTTAAGTTCATTGATTGGGCTTTGGTTGCAATCAACTAATCTCATGGCGACATGCAAATGACGAACACATCTGAAAATGCATGGAAGAAGAGTGAGGGCTTTGGGTCTTATTGTCTCATCCAGTAATGGTGTAATTGAACGTATTAATCGCGCGGAACCACCTGCACTCGAAGGAAAAAAGAGTAAGAAGACAAAAACAATGCTAAAGCCAAGGAGTCAAGGAAGCATAAGAGGGCATCTGCTACTATGATCTGTATGAGCAACTTGCACCGGTTCCATTCCAAAAGTAACATGACTCAATTTTCACAAAAGAAAAACTTACTTGCTTATTCAAACATCCCTCAATTTAAGTCTTCAAAAAAAAATTGATAAACTTAGAAGCTATGTGAAAAATACCCCCAAACATATATTGGAACTATGATCAGAGAAATTAACTATGATGATTCTTTTAAATAGTAAGCAGGACTTACCAAATAAGGAAGCGATGTACCTTCAAGGATCAATGCTTTATTCCTAATAGAACTCCATTTGCTGCTTCACTTCCAACATTTGTGCTTTAGTGCAGCAAAAATTTCATGTGATGGACAGTAAAAAAGAACCTCACTTGTGAATAAATGGGTGTTCCTATGATTACAACAGCAACTCCAAGTGCAATTTGAACATGTATTTGGAAGATTATGATGGAGGCAACAATGACAGATATCCGCTTCATTGCATTTCTATGCTAAATGTCAGGTGAGAAATCTCATCCAATGACATAAAACAACTGGTTATATAAGTGATAGAATATGTTCTGCGCTGATACTGAATACCAAAGCCAAAGACAAAACTGTTATTAGGATACTCATAAAAATAATTCATGAAATAACTTTTAACATAAACATAAAAGTAAGAAAATCTGTCAGGAATGACATAACAAGAGCTATCACATAGTTTAGTAAATGATTCAGAAGTACGCAAGAGAGCTAAAAACTAAGGTAGCATCCATTAATATAGACACAAACATAGCATCCATAATCACCTTATACTTGACTGCTGCCCATGGGAGCCTAGCTGGGGAAGGTACTTAGACTCCTGCTTCCCGTGCACCCCAGCCGGTGATGCAGGGACTCCAGACCCCCAGCCGGCTGTAGCTGCTCAGGCCCTGGTAGTCCCCGTTATGGCTGATGATGAGCAGAGGAGACTTGAGAGATTTGGGAGACTTCGACCTCCATCATTTAGCGGTGCTGAGTCAGAGGATGCTCAGGGCTTTCAGGATAGGTGCGAGCGCATTCTTCGGACAATGGGTATACTGGAGACCAGTGGGGTCTCGTTCACTAATTTTCAGTTTTCTAGGGGTGCCTTCAGATGGTGGGAGGCTTATAAGAGGCGCAGGCCGGTCAGTGCAGCACCACTTATATGGCAGGAGTTCTCCGTTCGATACGAAGCTATCAGAGTCATAAAAATACAGTTCTGGGGTCGTTTTCACAAAAGTCAAAGTTTGATCAATATTTTCAAATTTAAACTTCTAAGTCTAGAATCAGGGGTCCAAATCAACCCGAAAGCTTCCTGGAATGAAACTAATCAACCCAGCAAGTCATAAAGATATAAACACACATGTGTGAAGCAATAAAAGGGGTAACGGGGTATAAATTCATAAAATGACCGATCGGGTCGTTACACATGTACACCCCTAGTTAACACCTAGAGAGATCTTGTAAGCAAAATGAGTGCCCCTCCTGGGATTAACTAAGTTAACTACTAGACCACCCTTGTTCAATGAAAAATACTACAGTTAGTGGAAAGTAAGAATGGAAGATTTCCTTACGGCTAAAGACTATGAACTATGGACTTTAGTGAATCGAGGTCCACTAACTCCCACTAAACAAAATAGGCAAATGAGACTGTTTCGAAAAACTTCTCTTAATTTGTGGCAACAAATTTCAGAATGATGGAGAAGAATGCTAAGGCCAAGAAGATCCTCATCTGTGGACTTGGTCCTGATGAGTACAACAAGATATCTGCATGCTCTAATGCAAAGGAGATCTAGGATGCACTTCAAACTGCTCATGAAGAAACAAACCAAGTAAAGAGATCAAGGATTGATCTGCTTATGAGGAACTATGAGCTCTTCTCCATGAAGGAGTTTGAACCCATCCAGGAGATGATGACTAGATTTACCATAATAAAAAATAAACAGAAATCATTTGGAAAGGTATTGACTTCATATGAGTTGGTTAGCAAGGTTTTCTAAGGATTCTTCTAGCTTCACAGGAATCAAAATTCACATCTATTCAGAAAGTAAAGGAGTTGGATAAGATCTCACTGGATGAGCTGATTGAAAACTTAAAGACTCGTGAGATGAGAAAGCTGGAACTGCGCAAAGAAGAACCAAAGAGGAAGAAGACCTTGGTTCTTAAGGCATCCAAAAAAGATGAGTCTGACAATGATGAACTCGACCTAGCAATGTTTGCTAAGTTCAAGAGGTTCATGAAAAACTCCAAAAACCTAAGCAGATTGACAAAGCTTCATACAATGGGTGCTACAAGTGTAACAATCTAGACCATATGGCCAACGACTACCCAATATGGGAAATTGAATGGAAGAAAGAAAGAGTTGGAAAAGAGAAAAAGGAAAAAATGAAAGAGAAAGGTCTAAACAAAGGCAAAATCCTAGGCAAGGGATTCACCGAAGCCATGAAACAGGCTTTTCTAATTGCATTTGAGGACATTGTAAGTGATAAAGAGGAAGAGAAAGAGGACGGGGCCATAAGCCTTTATGCTGTGATAGATGCACATCATGAAGTGGAGACTGATCCCCCGGTACAGCAAGGAATGGACATTGGAAGACCTCCTCTATTTGATGGACACCACTATGATGAATGGAAGATGCGTATGGAAACGTTCCTTCAAACCACTGACTTTGACCTATGAATAATTGTCAATCACAGACCAATTATCCCCACCAAAGTGGATAGTGAAGGAAATAAATGTAACAAGAGAGGAGAATTATGATGTTGAAGATCGTCAGGGGATCTAGAAAAATGCTAAAGCAAAAGGATCTGCTCTACAGAAGTTTACCAAGGATTGTTCGCTACAAAGTGTCCTCTTACATCTCTGCTCATGATATATGGAGGACCTTGGAGGCTGATTTTGGAGATGAAAATATTGAAGTTGCATTAATGGCAATTAATGAAAGTCAAACAGAAGAAGAAGTGACATGGATGATGGCCATGAGCTACTCAGAGGCTGAAGATGAAACAAGCCAGGTAAGTATTTCTAACTTGAAGGAAAATATCCATGCTATGTCTAAAAAACAGCCAATGGCCATAATCGTGACCATGATGAGTAAGATGGATAGGTTGGGTGCTGAAAATGATCAGTTGATAAGCAACCTTTCATATGTTAAAATTGACCTCAAAAAACTTGAATCATACAAAGCTGATCTTGAAAGACAGCTCAAAGATCTTAAGAACCAGGTTCTTGAGCTCACATCTAAAAATGAGCAGTTACCTGATACATAAGGTAAGAGAAAAATGAGTGATCTCCAAGATAAACTTGAAAAGGAATTAAAAGAACTTAAGATAGTCTTTGTGATGTTGACTGTCGGAATAATGTATTGCAAGAAAATCTTGAAAAGGAAAAATATGAACTATCTAGGTTAAGCAAGTGGCATAGTTCCTCAGATGTACTAAATTGGCTAAACGAAAATTGTAGCACTAACAAATCAGGAATTGGCTATAGAATACCTATACCCAAGTTTGATCCAAAGTATGTAGGAATTCCTGATAACAAGATATGCACTCACTGTGAGAAGGTAGGACACTTAAAATATACTTGCCCTGCTTTAATTCATGCTCAGTTTAAGAACACCTTTGGCCTTTTTAAAAATGTGAAGAAAGAAGAAGAACACAAAGTCAAGTACTTTGTCCAAACTAGTGGATTAAGGTCAATAAGAAAAAAACTGTTAATCATCTTCCCTTCTGAGCAAAAAGAGATATTATATATAATTTTTCAAATTAAATAGGACCCAAGCTTGTCTGGGTTCCCAAGACTAACTTGTGATTTCTGGTGTGTCACGATCCCAATTTTTCCTTCATAGGATGTCGTGATGACACCTACTCTCTAAGATTAGGTAAGCCTAACATCCATGTAGAAATAACTGAAATAATGATTAAAGTCTAAATAACTCAACATAATATAAAGGAAAGTCCACAATTCAACATAAAAACTCCCAAAAACCGGGCGAATACAAGTCACAACCTCTATATAGTAGTATTGAATATCCCTATACATCAATGTCTATAAAAGGATAAGGAAATAGAATAGTCTAGGTAGAGGTGGACTCCGAGGCCTGCGGATGCCGGCAGGTATATCTTGAAGCCTCTGAAGCTGAGCTCTCTCGCTAGTGCATGGACTGGTAAGAGGTACCTGGATCTGCACAAAAAGATGTGCAGAAGCATAGCATGAGTACACAACAATGGTATCTAGGTAGAGTAGTGACGAGGTCAGGTCAAGACCCTACTGGAATAAATAAGAAACATGACGAATAAGTTAATGGTGCAATAATAATAACAATGGAAATGAAACAAGTAAGGAATATGCCAAAATTAACTACACAGAATCAAGGCAAATAATGAATCACGGAAGAAAACAAGAAATGTTAAGTCAAGGAAGCAAAACAACCAAAAACAAGTGAATTAATAGAGAAGTACCAACAAGAGTCACTACCAAGGTACCGCCTCGTAGACTCAAATGAATAAAATAATCCACAAGCTTTCCTTACATCACCGCGGGAGCCTTGCATTTTGTTTTAAAAATTATTTTTTCCGAAATAACATCCCGCATTTTATCCCACCTTATCACACCGCATGGCTTCAAGTAGATCTCCTACTAGCAACACGCGTATCACGCCCACCTAATCTCACCGCATGCGTTTCAACCCCAAAACTTTATACCACCGCATGCGTATCAATATCACAATGTATCACAAATCGCACCTCAAGTGACCAATATCACAACTTGCCAAGAAACCAACAACAATAGTATTTTCATAAAAAGTAGCCCATGGATCAACTACAATATGCACAAGAGTATCAACAATAATAACCAGAAGTGAATAACTCAACGAGAATAGTATTTCACAACTTAACACTTTGCCTCAATGTGAATCATGACCCTTATAACTCAATACCAATAAGGTAACTAAATTAAGGCATGAAAGGAATCTACATAGCTAAAACCGATAAATTTCTATATTTAGCCCGTGTAAACACTCGTCACCTTGCGTACACGGCTTCCACACATCACAATTATCGCAAAACAACACCAATCCTAAGGGGAATTTCCCCTACATAAAGTTAGACAAGACACTTACCTCAAAACACGCTAATTCAATCTACTAGTAGGCCTTTCCCTCGGTTACCCAACTCCAAACGGCTCGAATCTAGCCAAAACAACTACATACCATAAATATAAACTATAGGAAACTATTTCGAACAATAAAGTTATAATTTTTGCAAAGGAATAAAAGAGTCAACTCAAAAGGTCAACCCGGGCCCGCGTCTCGGAACCTGACCAAAATTATAAAATCTGAATACCCATTCGATAATGAGTCTGACCATACATGAATTATTGAAATTCGGCCTCAAATCGCCTTTCAAAACCCCAAAATTTAGTCTAGGGTTTTTTTAATAATTTTTCCCCAAATTTTCAATTCAAATCACTAATTAGATGATAAAAACAACAATAGATTCATGAAATATAGTCCAATTTGGGTAATCACTTACCCCAACGATTTCCTTGAAAACCTCTCAAAAAATCGCCTAACACCGAGCTCTCTATGTCCCAATTATAAAAAATGAGATGAAACCCTCGTTTTGAAACTTAAATTTTGCTGCCCAGTAACCCTCTATCGCGATCGCGGACAAAGACTCGTGATCGCGTAGAGTAATTTTTCCCATCTCAAATAATGCACTTTGCGATCGCATGAAACCAATCGCGAACGAGATGAACAAGTTGCCTCCACTACGCGACTGCGTCCGAGGCCACGCTAACGCGTAGCACAAGCATGCCTCAACCCCCAACCTCGCCTTCCTTATACGCGAACGCGATATACCCTATGCGTTCGTGATGAACAAACTCAGCACACTTCGCGATTGCATCATCACCTTTGCAAACGTGAAGGAGAAAATTCCAGCAACCCCTAAAGACTCTACGCGATCGCGGGAGAACCTTCGCGAACGCGTAGAAGGAAACCATATCAGAAGAAAACTAGCAGCTTCAACAATAGTGACTAAGTCCAATTTGGTTCCGAATTCAACACTAATAACACTAGGGGTCCACGAGACCTCGTCTGAATATACCAACAAGTTCCAAGACACCTAACGGATCTACTTGAGGCTAAAAATCACATTAAACAACATCGATTCTACGAATCGCAACCCAATTCAGCCTATTGAAATTATGAACTTCCGAATTCCAAAACTAATGTCGATTCATAACAAAACAACTATCATTGACTTTAATTTTTGCACAAAATTCATAAATGGCATGATGGATCTATTCCAACTTCCGGAATCAGAATTTGACCCCGATATAAATAAAGTCAACTCTCATCAAACTTCCCTACCTTCCAATCCTTCAACTTTCTAACTTTTGCCAATTGAAACAACCTACTGACCTCCAAATCAACATCCGGACCTGCTCCTAAGTTTAAAATCACCATACAAAGCTATTGGAACCATCAAAATACCATTCCGGAGTTGTTTACACAAAAGTCAAACTACGGTCAACTCTTTCAACTTAAAGCTCCAACTTAGGGACTATGTGTCCCAGTTCACCCCAAAACTCACTCGAAACAAAAATTAAATACCCTAGCAAGTCACATAAACACATTATAACATAAAGGAGATAATAAATATGGGATCGGGGCTAAAATACTCAAAATAACCGGGCGAGTCGTTACATGGTGTAGGTAAAGTGAGAGGAAACACTTAAGATTGGTATCTAGATAGTGGATGCGCAAGACATATGACTAGAGAAAAGAAAAACTTCCTCTCACTAACAACCTTTCAAGGAGGAAGTGTGTCATTTGAAAATGAGAAAAATGGACAAATAATAGGTATTGGTAAGCTTGATAAGTCACTCTCTCATGCTATAGAAGATGTATACTATGTAGTGGGTCTTAAACACAATCTTCTTAGCATTTCTCAAATGTGTGATAAAGGTAATGAGGTAAAGATTAATTCTAAAATCTGCATTGTCACTAAGCTAGATACTGATAAAATTATTCTGGAAGGTAAGAGACATAACAATGTCTACAAGATATCTATTATGTCTCTTCCTCAAAGTGAGCATACATGTTTAAGTGTAGTGGAAGATAACATGTTGTTATGGCATAGAAGACCGGACATGCCAGTCTATTCAACTCAGGAAGTTGGCAACAAAGGACTTGATCCTTGGACTACCAATGGTTGAGTTTAAATCAGACAAAGTGTGTGATGCTTGTGTCAAAGGAAAACATGTAAAGTCATCTTTTAAATCTAAAAGGGTTGTCAGCACTTCTAAACCCCTGGAACCCCTTCACATGGACCTATGTGGACCAATAAGAGTGAGGAGCAAGGGAGGTAAGAAGTATGTATTTGTCATTGTTGATGATTTCTCTAGGTACACATGGACCTTATTTCTGGCATCTAAGGATGAAACTTTGATGTTTTCTGTGTGTTTGTTAGAATAATTCAGCAGATACTGGGCCATGTTGTTTCAAGTATAAGAATAAACCATGGAACTGAGTTTGAAAACTCTAAATTCATTGAGTTCTGTAACACTCATATCATTGATCATAACTTCTCTGCACCCAAAAATCCATTAAAAAATGGTATTGCCGAAAGAAAGAATAGATCTCTAGAAGACATGGACAGAACCATGCTAATTGCCAGTGGACTACCTAAGAGCTTTTGGGTTGAGGCAGTCAATATTGCTTGTTACTGCCTAAACATATACATGGTCAAACCCATTGTTGAGAAAACTCCATATGAGTTACTTTGAGGAAGAAAGCCTAACATCACTCGCCTAAGAGCCTTTGGGTGCAAATATTTTGTGCACAATAATGGCAAAGAAGCTCTAGGAAATTTTGATGACAGAAGTGATGATGGAGTTTTCCTAGGCTATTCACCACATAGTAAAGCTTATAAAGTATTTAATAAAAGAACTATGTGTGTACAAGAAAATGTTCATGATTAAGCTAAAGTACCTTCAGTTTTTATCAACATTCTAAAATAGTCAAACAAAACAACCATGATTCAAGTAATATGGAGGACGATGTAAACTACCTCAAACTGATGCAACCAGGAAAATTGATATATAATATTATTACTACTATGCATCAGCAAATACTGGGAGCAAGCATAATGAGATCCTCACCAAACAAAATCGGTTCTCAAGAGCATGTTTTGCCATCTTACTACCCACCTCTGGTGACCCTCTATAGCAACTGCAAAAAGTGTAAACATTAAGAGAGATATAATGGACAAACCCGCATAATACCTCATCCCACTAACAGACTTTCTTTTCATTCCTTTGTTTAAGAATATATTCCGGAACTTCAATTGCAGGATTTGATATCATAGCTTCCATAAAACCTGTAGTAATAATCAACATGATTTCAGAATCTAACAACAAACAAATCTAAAGTACCAGCATGAATAATCAAATATCACTCAAGTAATAGCTTGATTAAAGGAAATGTAATAATATAATTGCTCCCACCAACAATGTTAAAATTGAGCTCAGTAGCAGCTGAAAATGCACAATGACATGATTGGCACAAAGTGACAAATAAATACTAAAGGCTGGCTAACTACTCTTGATGATATGAGTTAAAGAAACTGCAAGTGTAGACATACTAAAAGTTAGATGCCCAGTTGTATGAGTAACTGAATCCTATGTCACCCAGGAAAAATAAATAGATAAAATTAATAACTATTAATGGGAAAGAATAAAAATTGAGTCACATGTTCTCTTTATCTCTGAATGAATGACAAAGTTCAGAGTAAGTAAACACACTAATTGGATCACACTTGTTCTCTTTTAAAGCAAAACAAAATAATTAGATTCAATTTCCCAGGAAGTTCATTCATCTAGAAAATCGTCCTACAGCGAAAACATTTGAATTTCCAAGTACGTAAAGATTTTCAATAACTGAAAACTCAAAAGGTCAAGATTCAAATGTTTAAAAGATACAAAAATAGATGCACGCCGAGATAGAGAAGCAAAAACTGAAAATTTACCATAATCAGTCAAGATTCAAATTAGTAGTATGGAACTCTTAGAATATCATCATATACAACTCAAAACAAATAGAGAAATACTCCGTTGTATTTCATCTATAATCCAAGATTCGCTAGGTCTAGTTATTTACAACCAAGAAATTAAAAAGATACCCATTTGCCATCAAGAATTTTCATATCTTTCACCACCTTCCATACATCACAAAACAGACGTCCACAAGCATCTCTCAACTTTCTTGGCTTTTTCACATAATAGAAAACCATACCAAATCTACAAAAAAAAAAAAAAAAAAAAAA